ACTGAGAGAGAGGGTGTGAGACAGAGGGGAGAGGGAGGGAGTTCCAAAGCTTAGGGGCGTAGTGTCAGAAAAAACAACAACACCATTTATAAATTCTGCACTGGAAGGGATTCGTAAATTCCGTACTCTCCCAGTCTCTGGTGAAGAAGGTAATCATTTGAAGTGGATGTAAAGGGAAATCCATCTCATTAACTATCCAGTTGCTGACTGGCGCTCGCTGTCTGTGATCACGCAGGAGACGCCAACTTTTTTTTTGTCTGATTTACGGCTGCCAAGTAATCAAGTCAAGGGCGAGTAATTTTGCCGTTTTCAGCAAAAAAAAACACGAAGCCACTTGTTCTCGCCGCTCGTTTCAGCTTAGAAGCCACTTGTTGCTCCCAGGCAGGGACGGACGGGCTCGCTGCAAATTCACTGTTTCGTGGGCGTGTTTGCGTTAAACACTGCAAAACGATTAAAATATTTAATGAGAAGCAGCAAGAGAGAAATGTGTTTGTTGAAGTATTTTTCGCGTGCTTCGACACTCTATGCTAATGGCCCAACCCAAGTGCCTCGAGTGCACCCATGCGTTAAAATAATAACGCATGGGTGCACTCCGACAAGCCAATGCCCCCCCACCCCTCCCCCAAACCCCCCAGCACTGCACTGAAGAGTCAGCCCAGACACCAGCCTGACGTGGGGCTTGAACCCACAACTTTCTGACCTTCTGACTCCGAGACGAGAGTGCAACCGACCGAGGCAGGCGGACACACCAGTGACAAATGGCGCAATTTGTCCTTTCTATAATAATAATAACAATAATAATCCTTGCATTTGATAGAGCGCTTTTCACGTCTTCTAGAAGTCTCAAAGCGCTTCACAGAATGTACTATAAAGTGAAGTGACTGTATATTTGTGGGCGAAACGCACAGCAGCGTCCCCACAAACAGTCGTGGATTGAAGTGACCAATTTATTATTGTTTTTCTCTTCTTGAGGGATTATTATCAAGCGTGATACTGTAATGCTGTAGAAAGCGACTGTCACCAGCATCTTGTGATGTGGGAGGTGGGGAAGCAGTTTAAAACTTTCAGCTTGTTCCAGGGGAACGCACTTCGCAATATAAAACAGTCTCGAAACGCAGCAGCCATTTCCGGCTGCATTTTCTGAAATAAGAATTGATCTCGAGGTACGTAGGATAATGTAAGAGCCTGAATGATTGGGTTTTGACTGGTGCCCGCTGACACATGCAGCTCGTAGCAAGTGGCATTTTGAAATCAAATCACACTTGTAGCAATGTATTGTGTTTGCGATTTACCGGCAGTGACTGTGTTTGACATAAGTCAATTGCGCACCGCAGTTCAGACTCCTGCTAGAGCACGTTAAACCCGGAGAGGTTTGTTCACATGAGAACAATCTTATCTTTCCAGATCTGACCTGCAACTCAGCTTCAACCTCACTTCTCGATAATAATAATAATAATAATAATTATTATAATTATAATTATCCTGGCATTTGATACAGCGCCTTATCACGTCTTCGAGACGTCTCAAAGAGCTCCATAGTATATACTGTAAGGTGTAGTAACTTATATTTCGTGGGCGAAATGCGGCAGCCAATTGCGCACAGTTGATAACCTGTTGATTGCCCCCTTTGTAAAGAAATACTTCCTGGCGCCTGTTCTAAAATTGTCCTTTGCGACCTTGATGCAGTGCCATCTTGGGGTAACTGGGTGCTACTCTGGGGTTCGTGGGTCAAACCTGTTTAGCAACTTATATTCATCTCTCCACCTCAATCAGGTGACCTCCCATCACTTAGAATAATATTAATCCACGCTTTCGATGTAGCGCCTCACACATCAGACAGACGACTCAAAGCGTTGCACAAGATTCATTGGACAAAGTAATTCTGTAGATTTTTCTTACTCTACCCACTCCACCACCGCCACCACCACCCCGCCCACCCAACTGCCCCCCCCCCCACCCCACCCCATCTGTAAAGCTGGCCTGTTTTTTAAGGTTTCTTTCAGTTTATAAAGACAAGTTGATTCAAAGTGGATTAGCCTGCAGCGAGCAGAGATCTGGCAGAACCTTCAGTTTACAGGAAAGGTGTTAATTGTACTGTTTTACATCATGGCACTAAACGTGTCTTGTCTATTTCAGACAGATAATCCGACTTCACTGAATTAACTGTGAAGTGACTGTGTATTTTCTAGGCAACTGCAGAAGCCAATGTACGCAGAGCAATGTCCCCCAAACAGCCATGAAGTGATTGACCGATTTGTCCTGAGGGATTGTCCGCCTGGACACCGGGAGAGAGAAATTCCCTTCTCTTTTCCAACATTCACCTGAACAAGCACAAATGGGACTTCGGTTTAACATCTCATCCAAAGAGCGATGCAGTGTTCCCTCTCAAACTACTCTGGGACCTCAGCCTCGGAGCTCAAAGTCCTGAAGTGTGGCTTGAACCCACAATCTTTTTGCTCCCAAGTGAGAGTGCCACCCGGCTGAAGTACTGAGCCAGGCTGATACCGTTCTCCCTCATAAAGTACAGAATAGCCTCGAAGACCGAGAAATTACCGCTTCCACCCATAAAGTTTCGCCCACAAAATACACAGTCAATTCACTGTACAGCGTATTCTGTGAAGCGCTTTGAGACGTCTCGAAGACATGATAAGGCGCTGTATCAAATGCGAGGATTATTATAGGAGTGTGTAATTAAAAGTGCCCTCCCAGGCTGACATTTTTCGCCTGTCGCATGTATTTCGGGCAGCGAGTTTCAGGCAAGCACGGTGACATTATTCGGTGACACGTTGGCTAATGATCGCTGCACAGAAAATCAACGGTTGCTATCAGCGTGAGGAAAAGTTCCAGTTGGAAACAGGTATTTAATTGTGCAGTAAATAAATAAAATCACTGCGGTGAACAAAGGGAGTGAAAGGTTGTGACCTTTCCGACCGCATTCCTGAAGTTAATTATCACCAGGAACCCGGGCTATGAAATGATGCAGGTTTCTCCCCCCCCCCCCCCCCCAAGGGATGGAGCTCCATGCGGTGCATAAAAATTGCTCGGAATCTTAAAATCTCCCGTTTTAGTCAGGCGGTGAATTATTAGGGTGCACTGCGCAACCTTAATCGTCTGCGAATGACTTTTAACCTCGTGAAAACGTAATCTAACGATGCACCAGGAAAAGCTGGATCGCGCTGTGAGAGTAATGATATTTTCAAAAAGCATTTCATGTTTCCGCACGCAAACACAGGAGGCAATGATTTGACGGTAGAATGCAGGGGGTCACGCGATGCACAGCAGGGCTGTTTTAAACTGAGTCGGAGGATGGATGGATGGATGAGTGAGGTTTGAGAGAAAGCAGACTTACCGCAGACAATGATATCCGGGAGTATTCGGCGTGCGGAACGCTAAGAACACAGAAGCTCCTTCTTTGACGATTGTTTTGCTCAGCAATGAACGGAACCCCTGTTTCTTTTAATTCATTTGTCGAAGCAATAATTCACTTAACAGAGTCACGTATAAATTGCCGAACTGCTTTAACAACCAAGGAACAAGGATCCCTCCAAGACATTGTTGCACATACTCGGTGTCTTTCATGGCACATTAATTCTCGTCCTTTCCTCCGCTACTATTTTGTGTCACCCACCCCAAGTGGCCGCTTAGTATTTACACGTGAAAATAAAGGCCGGTCCTAAGTCGCTGCCATAATTTCAGCGGAAGTCTGTCACAAACAAACTGATTTGCCGTTTGAAAGTCCGTACTTACAGCCCATTCGGCTTCCAATCGAACACTTCATTCAAAGGCTTTTGAAGTGGATGTTCTTGGACATCAAAGTGGAAGAAGTCACATTTCCTCAGACAACTACCGTACAAACTGTCGTCTGTCATTACAAGGCCAAATAGACGGCAACTCCGGTTGTGTGACAACAACAACTTGCATTTACACAGCACCCTTCATGAGGGGCAGCATCTCGGAGTGGAGTGATGTTGATTGGAATTGAAAGGATTAGTTGAGGTACAGGTCAGCCATGATCTGATTAAATGGTGGAAAAGGCTCGAAGGGCTGAATGGCCTCCTCCTGTTCCTATGTTCCTTTGAGGCTGGATTTCCAGACCTCCTGAACACCTGATCCCGTGATACAATACCAATTCTTACAGAGCAATAACACGCCTCAACAAAACCACAGTAGTTTTACAGAGCAATCAACCTTGGTGGGCATAGGAGGAAATGGGCGTTTGAACTCATCAATTGCCCATTTTTGAAGAATGCCATTCCTTCCTTCCTTCCTTCCCTCCCTCCCTCGCTCACTCTTAATTTTATCTGCGCTGAAAATTTCTACGTTTCTAAGAAAAGAGTTGCTTCTAGTGTGAAATCCCCCCCCCCCCCCCCCCACCAAATAAAATTGGTCACTCACTTACTTCCTGGCAGTTTGTGGGACATTGCCTCATTCACATACGAAACACACAGTCACTGCACTTTACAGTAAATCCCGTGAAGCTCTTTGAGGTGTCCTCCTGCCGTGAAAGGTGTATCAAATGCAATGGTTTACAATGAGTTGCTGACGGAGAGCCCAGGAGTGCGGAACGAGAGGCAACAAGGGGAGAATGGAAACCAGGCAATTTATAAACATCTTGTTCCTTAATTGGAAAAATTGTTGCTTGCAATAGAATAACATGAGTTCACCCTAAGCAAATGGAAAGAGCCTGAGGCTTATCAAACAGTGAGAGCGATTGTTTTCAGTGTAGCCATCTATATGTTGGCGGCTCGGTTGAAGAAGTGATTTGTAGGAATGTGTAGGGTTCTGTACATGAGGTAAAATTGGAGCGTGGAGTAAGGAAACTCGCGTAAGGTTTCATCCTGCCCAGGAATCGAACCCGGGTCCTCTCGCTTGCGAGGCGAGTGCTGTAGCTGTGCCGAAAATGCACGTAGGATGGGTGAATGGATTATTTGAAAGGTCTCTCGTATCCTCGGTGCTTCATGTCAATTTACGGGGTGTTTTATTTGTTCTTACTTCTTCAGATCTTGAAAGCTTCAAAGGGAAATCGAGAAGCGCCGTGTCCGTCCGCGAGGGGCAAGGAGTCGTTCTGCTTTGTGGTCCACCGCCTCATTCTACAGGTATTCATTCCACCAACAGCGGCACGAGAGACGAGAGCCTCAAAGGCGTTTAACGCATTGATTCGGACGTCCTCCCGACGTGAAATGTAATGTTGTTGTTGTTGTGGATCCTGTTCCAGGGCGAAACATTGCGAAATATCTTGCGGACTATTTTTTTCCCTCGCGCGCGAAGATTTTGAAGTCTGGAGGAGGCAGGTTTGGGGTTAATGTGTACCTGGTCCTGACCATCCGCACTCTAGCTTCCTGATGTTCACAAGCCCCAGGTTGTCAGCAGAGTAACGAACCAACAGAACGAACCAACCGTGCCTTCCTGAAATTGATCAAGTCGTGGCTGAAATTGGCCTTTGCCACTCTGAGTGCATGTCCTCTCGTTGTACTGCTTTGGCTCTTCTGAAAGTATCGTTCTTAATCCAGAACCCATTTAAACATGGCTTTTGCGTCTGGAAAAAAAAGAAGCATTTGGTGTATCCACCCTTTGAGCTGTTAAAAGATAATCTCCTTTACTTTTCAAGAAAAGAATAGGGAGTTTAATGCCCGCCCTCTTGGGCTTCCAGCGGTAAAGGTTTTGCATTGTGCGTCTCAGCCTGGTACCGAGCTGATAATGAGTTGCAGGATGACTGACGTCTTCAGATCACCGTGGGGGAATGGAAAGCACGGAGATGTGCGCCGTGTCAGCAGAGGTGCTTGTTGACTGATATAAACCAAGCAGCTTTCCAGCACTTAGCCAGCCTGAGACATCAGGTCTCCACTGAACGGCGGAAAGCGAGCGGTTCCATTTTGACATTTCACAGAGACGGGCCTTGGATGCCGAGTGAGCGAGAGAAAGAGAGAGAGAGAGAGAGAGAGAGAGGAAGGGGACAGGTGACCTCAAGCACAACCGAAGAGGTAGATTTTAAGGCAGAACTTTACAGCTTGAGTGGAGGTGGTGGGGGGGCAGGCCATGGGGTGGGGAGATGGAGGACCAGAGGGAGGGAGTTCAAGAAGCTTAAACCCGCATCTACCAGCCTTGTTAAGGTTAGCCTTGTTGGTTCATGGCCTTGTGCCAGAGTGATAATTCTCCACATTACTCATCTAGTCACTTTCTAACTGAGCCGTGCTGTCACTTATTTCAAAAAACCTCAGAAAAGTTTCACTTTATGGAGGCTTATTATTTCCATCGATTTCTGAGAAAAGAGGACACAGTTTGTAATTAGAGTTCTTGGGCTTGAGGCACTGCAATCCTTTTTCACTGCAAGCCTCACTGATGATTTGATGTAATTTGTGTGTCAAATTGAGACTTAAAGTGCCAACTGCATTGAACTCTGGGTTTAGCTGCCCAGGACAAAGAGATAAGGAGAGATAATAATAATCCTTGCATTCGATATAGCTCTTTACCATGTCTTTGAGATGTCGCAAAGAGTGTATATTTTGTGGGTGAAATGCGGCAGCCAATTGCGCACAGCAGCGTCCCACATATAGTCGTGGATTGAGTAACCACATTTTGTTTAAGGAATTAATACCCGCAGTGAAGCAATCTGCCATTCGACTTACAACCTGGTTCCTACTTATTACTGGGTAAACAGAGGCGTGTGGAGAAAGGAAACTTGCCCAACGTTTTGCCGTGCCCGGGAATCGAACCCAGGTCCTCTCGCTTGCGAGGCGAGTGCTCTAACCACTGAGCTACAGGACTCCGAACTTGAGACGCGTAATTCCACCTCGTTTTAGCCTGCCAGGTCTTTTTGCCTTAAAATATTAAGGTGGAGCAGAATCGTGAAACCTGTTTCAAATTAGGGGTAATTTTGAGAACGGTTTCCGTTTATGAATTGCAAAAAAAACTGCCGACTTTCAGATTAAGATAAGAGTCCCACTTGTAACCCAAGAGCATTGCTAAACATAATCCCCCCACCCCACCCCACCCTGTGTCACAGTTACACCGCGATTGACAACACAGGCTCCAAAATTAAGCAATTAATGAAAAACCCACTTATTTGTGTGAAATGTTGGCGGGAATTGCCTGAGTCCAAAGATAATTGGAATTTCTGGATCCATTCACGTCCTCATGAGGATTATTATTATTGGTATTATTAGTAGTAGTGTTAGTAGTATTATTGTTATTGTCGTTAATATGAATCATGATAATAATATTTCATGTGAACACCGTTGCTTGCCCCTTCCCTTCCCCTTTACTGGATCGCACTTGACTTCATCCGTTAAAAGTTCGGGATGACATAAAAATGCTGATTGAAGCTGAAACTTCCCACTGCTGCACAGTGCCACTGATTACATGCCAAGCCTAATTAAGCTGTAACAAATTAAGCTAATAACCAGACTGTTGGTATTCTGTTCGTTTTGTAACCTTGACACGATGCAGTTGTTGAACATGTGACAGACAGTGAAGGATTTAGCCTTTCGGTTAATTTTCACAGATCAGTAATTTGAAGTCAAGGCTTTACCAAACAAGAGTTGCCTGGGTGCTTGACTTTGAAAAATTGCTTTTTAATCAGAAACAATTTTCCTATTATTTTCGCTCGAGACAAACAGCAGAATAGAGCAGGCTAGTGTTAACGGAAGGTACAATAGTTCAGGGAAGTAGCAATGAGTTGCCCTAAGTTGCTCAAAGCACTGGAAGCGTTTTAAGGCAGTCCGCACTACTTTATACAGTTAAGTCAATCCACAAGATCCTGTTCAAACCCAAATTTCTCCGCATAAATTCTCTGCATTGGAATAACCACAGGTGATTTAACTACCCATAAACAGGGATGTAGAGGAAAGTAAAAACTGCCTAATCTCTAAATTTTGATTCACTTCTAATACCCAGAATATACAGCACAGAAACAGGCCATTCGGCCCAAATAGTCTATGCCACCATTTATGCTCCACTTGAGCCTCCTCCTGCCCTTCCTCAACTAAGCCTATCAGCATAACCTCCTATTCCTTTCTCCCTCATGTACTTATCGAGCTTCCCCTTAAATGCATCTATGCTATTTGCCTCAACTGCTCCTTGTGGTAGCAAGTTCCACATTCCCGCCACCACTCTCTTGGCAAAGAAGTTTCTTCTGACTTCCCCATTTTATTTACTGGTGACTATTTTAGAATTATACAAAACTTCTTAAAAGTAAACCTACGAAATACAAATAGTAATGCATTTGGGATAGCGCCTTATCATGTCGTTGAGACGTCTCAAAATGCTACCCAGGACTTTACTGTGAACTGTAGTGACTGTGTATCTGCAGGTGAACCTGGCATACAATTTGCGCACAGCAATGTCCCACAAGCAACTGGGAAGTAAATGACCAATTTTACCAGGAGAAACTCCCTTTTCTTTTCAAATAGTGGCATTTAATGTCCACTGTACAGGCGGGTGTGGGGCCTTCTGGTGGTAAATTCTCAATGTGAAAAGCAATGATTGCTTCTTATTTCTTGCGCAGTTGGTAACTTTGGCATCTAGGTATCTCTGCCAGCCATGCAAATACTGCACGGACCTGCCATCGACCAAGCCAGGTGCTTAACTCCCTGCTCTTCAGCGAGAGAGATTGTTGACCTTTGCATCAATGGAGCCCATCACTTAGCTCAATCCGGCCTTTCATTCAACCTATGCGTTTTCTTTCCTGTTCTGAGGAGAAATGGATGACTTGTTTCTTATGTGTAAGGTCACAGAACAACAGCAAATCCAGATTGCTGAGCTCAGGGGCTACCCAAAGAGAAAATGGCCCTTTTGTCAGAGTTCACACCTGTCCTGTGAGAATCCCTTGAACCCTTTCAGGGACAGTGAACATAACTCGTCAGCTACTTGCTCACCTGAATGGTGGTCATTTGTTTGATGTTTACCGAGCGTGGCTGGACGTTATATTTACAGTATAAATATATTTACAGATTTGTTGGAGTGATGCAGGAAGGGACTCTATAATAACTCTACGACAATGCAGTGCTCATCCAGCACTGAATTGGAGAATTATCTCAGCACTATATGAGTTCCAAGTCCCGAAATGGTCCTTGAACTCGCAACCTTCTGACTCGGACCAAAGTGCTACCAACTGAGCCAGACTGACACACATACACACACACACACACACACACAAATATCCAGGTCAAATCGGTTGAACCTCTTAGGAAAGCCCAGGAATGAGGTTGCCATTTGAGAACATGACTGGAACTAATTTCCACTGCTTAATGGTCTAACACCGTACACCAGGTGGTGGGGTTACTCCGAATACTGCTGTGAAGAGTACCGGCCACTGGGATTCATTAAAATATATATCGGGATCTTGGGTTGTGTGCTTGGGATTGTCTTGTTAATGAAAAAATGTAACCTTTATTGAAGCAAACTGTCCAAACACTGACATGCCACTATTCATTGTTGCTGAAATTGGTCCTTATGTAGCATATATTTTAGAATAGTTCCCTGTTAAAATACAACTGTCTTCAGTTCAGTTCAAAGAATCCTTTGCATTTCTGATTTCACCTGTCAGTAAAAGCGAAGACAATGCCCTTTAAATACTGAATAGGAGCGGAGCTTCAAAACGAGATCGTCAAACTTAATTCACTTAAGTGTTCATCACTTTTGCTTCTACCTCAATAAAAAAAAACACATTATAAATACACGTCCTGTCAATCTCCGTCAAGCACAATTCCCCTCCAGAAAAAATTAGGCCCTCGCTGCGACCAGGATTTAATGCTGTGCGTAAAATCACCGGGACACACGTCAAGTAACTGTAATGGTAGCGGTTAGCAGCCACAAGAGAAAAACATTGGCAAGCTTTCAGAGAGACGTGTGCTATACCTGCGAAGGCTGGTCAGGGAATATTGCCAGCAGGAAAAACACAAGATTGCTTTGCGTGGATTGAAACACTTCCACGTCTGTTCAAGGGCATAGAGAAACAGACAGTAGGTGTTTGGATGGTACTCATAAAAACCTTCAAGGTTTCTCCCAGCATCCTGGCCAACACCCCCCTCCCCCACTGATAAAAATTGTGTGTTTGCTTCAAGGCTGTTTGAAGGACATTGCTGCGCGTAAATTGACC